ATTATCAACCATCATCACCATTTACAAATCATTTATATATGAATTCACCATCACAATATCAACAAAATGGACTACCACCAACAATACCATCAAATATATTTAATGATCGTTATGATCCTATAGATGGTTATTTACCATTTTCAAATAATTCATCATATTTATCAACAATGCGTTTTTCACCAAATCAATCTTATCGTACAACAAAAAGTGGTAAACAACAAATTGGACCTGAAAATTCAAATTTATTTATATGTCATTTACCACAAGAAACAACTGATCAAACATTAATGAATTTATTTTCACAATTTGGTACAGTTTTATCGGCGAAGGTTAATATTAATTATTTTTTTAATCTACGATAGATTTGTTGTTTTAGGTATTTGTTGATAAAAAAACAAATCAATCAAAATGTTTTGGTTTTGTTTCATATGATAATCCTTCATCGGCACAACAAGGTAATGATTTTAATCAATAGATTTGTATTCAATTTTAAAATTTTATTCATCAGGAAAATGAAATTTTCGTGAAAATTCAATATCTCGAGAGAGAAGCCTTTATTTCAACTGAAACTTTTTGGGATCTTGTATATTTTGCTCTAATATTTACAAAAACACTTGGATATATATCTTTGTCTGCTAATTTTTAATCTTAAAATATGTCAAAATCGACCTGACGGAATTCAGAGTATTAGTCTATATTGTATAGTGACAGCCAATATTGAGAAGACAAAAAAAAAAACGAAATTATTTTTAGAGGAAAGAGCTCATTTTTCCATCGTTTTCGGAAATTAAAATGATAACATGACTATATGGACTTAATCAGTTAAAACAATATAAATTTAATATAAGACTTAAATGTATAGTCAGTTTTATTTGATAAAATATCAAGAATCTTTTTTATTTTTCGATCTAATATATTTACTGTTTTGAATTACACTTTTGATGAATTAAATCTATTATCACAAGACTAAGTTCATACTACATTACAAATCTTTTTGTGATATGTGAAATTGAAATATTGTTTCGAAATGTACCGAACTTACTTTTACCTTTTTCTATACACCTTCATTTGGAACTCATATAAATCTTAATGAAACAATAAGATTCTGTGAGAAGAATGTTTGTAGTTTTATCAAAAAAATGAGATTCTTCTCCCATAAACCATCAAAAGAAAATTAACTATTATTGAATTTTTCTTTATTTTAGCCATATTAAGCATGGATGGATTTAGTGTTGGTCCAAAACGACTGAAGGTCGAATTGAAAAAACCACGTCGTAATTCATAGTATGACAAAAAGAAATAAAATAAAATAAAAGAGTTACAATTCGATGAAAGAACAGTAAGAATATCGTGTTATATCTTGTTTGCAAAAAAAAATAAAGATCTGTTTCTGTGAGTATATGTTTTAACTGTCTATTTCTTGTTTTCTTCTTTTTTTTTTTCTTTTGTTTTTTTTGATGATCATTGTTTGTTTGTTTTCCTGCGAAAAGAAAGAAATCGAACCTATATTTACTTTCATGTTGTATGCGTGTATTTCTCCAAGAGATTTGTTCGATGTGTGTTTAGTAAAAAACCAAAAACAGAGGCGAAAGAACAAAGAAGATGGAATTTCCTGTATGTTTATGCTTTCGAATTATCTGTCGACTTTTTCTTTCTGTGAGTTGATGCTGTGTTCTTTTTTTGTTTTGTTTTTTATGCCGCCGTGTTTGTTTCTCTATTTATTTATTAAGCGATTGTGTGTATGTATCAGCGCTTTTATTATCTGCTATGTGTTTGCGTATAGTTCATTCATTTTATTTTGTTTCGTTTATCAAGCTTCCCTTTAATTTATTCACAACTAAAAGAAAAAAAACGGTTTATGCGTGTGTGTGTGTGTGTGTGTGCTTATATCTACACGGTTGTTGTGTGTGCATTTCGTTGGGTTTTGGATGACTTATGTTTCTTTTTTTTTTTTTTTTTTGTTCTTCTTTATATATATCTGTGTGTATGTTTGTTGTGTGCTTATCATTGCCACCGAGAAAAAACAAACAACAAAGAAAGAAAATTTTTTTCGTTTTTTTTTTTTTTTTGGAATAGAAAGAAAAAGACGACAATATAAAAGTTATTTAGTGTATAGTGTTTGTGATAAATAATGTGGAATTAATATTCTTCACCTTCATTAGGAGCATCGTCATGTGATGATTCAGTAGCAACTTCTTCGTAATCTTTTTCTAATGCAGCTAAATCTTCACGAGCTTCAGCAAATTCACCTTCTTCCATACCTTCACCAACATACCAATGAACAAAAGCTCGTTTTGCATACATTAAATCAAATTTATGATCAAGTCGTGCCCAAGCTTCTCCAATAGCAGTTGTATTTGATATCATACAAACAGCTCGTGGAACTTTTGCTACATCTCCACCTAAAAAAAAAAACATAAAATGAATATTTACTTTATTCAATTTTAAAATCTATTCGGTATATTTTTTGTATAAAGAATAATGGATTCAATTTAAATTTAAAATCTCGAAATTTTTATCTTATTGATTTATATTAGATAGAATTCAGCAAAAAAAAAAAGGTGTTTTTTTTTTAGACCTGGTACAGCTATTGGAGGTTGAGAATTAATTCCAACTTTAAAACCCGTTGGACACCAATCAACAAATTGTATTGATCGTTTTGTTTTAATAGCTGATATAGCATTATTCACATCTTTTGGTACAACATCACCACGATAAAGTAAACAACAAGCCATATATTTTCCATTACGTGGATCACATTTAACCATTTGATTAGCTGGTTCAAAACAAGCATTTGTTATATCTTGAACACTAAATGGTTCATGTGAAGCTTTTTCAGCTAAAAAATAAATAAATAAAAACAAAAGAAAAAAAAATAATTTAATAATTTGTGTGTGTTTTTTAGTTGTAATAATTAACTAACCACTACAAATAGGTGCATAAGTAACAAGTGGAAAATGTATACGTGGATAAGGTACAAGATTTGTTTGAAATTCTGTTAAATCAACATTTAATGCACCATCAAAACGAAGTGATGCTGTTATTGATGAAACAATTTGTGCAATTAATCGATTTAAATTATGATAAGATGGACGTTCAACATTTAAATTACGACGACAAATATCATAGATAGCCTCTAAAAAATAAAAAAAATTCAAAAAAATAATTTCATTTTAATATAAGTTAAAATTTGTTTTACCATTATCAACCATAAAAGCACAATCAGTATGTTCTAATGTGCAATGTGTTGTTAGAATTGAATTATATGGTTCAACAACAGCAGTTGAAACCTATTTATATTATAATTTCATAAAAAACAAAAAATTCAATTGATTTTAATCTACTTGAGGAGCTGGATAAACAGCAAATTCAAGTTTTGATTTTTTACCATAATCTACACTTAAACGTTCCATTAATAATGATGTAAAACCTGATCCTGTACCACCTAAAAATTGCAAAAATTATTATTATTATTTTTTTTTTTTGTTGTTGTTGTTGTTTTGAAAATTTTACTTACCTCCAAAACTATGAAAAACAAGAAATCCTTGTAAACCTGTACATTGATCAGCAATTTTACGTAATTTTTCAAGTACAGTATCAATTATTTCTTTGCCAACTGTATAATGACCACGAGCATAATTATTTGCAGCATCTTCTTTACCTGAAATTAATTGTTCAGGATGAAATAATTTTGAATATGTTCCTCGACGAATTTCATCTAATATATATATATATGTATATAGATATTTTTTTATGCAAAATAATAATCAAATTAATATTTACCAATAACTGATGGTTCAAGATCAACAAAAACAGCACGTGGTACATATCGTCCAGCACCTAAAATTAAATTAATTATCAAACTTTGTTGTTGTTGTTGTTTTTTTGTTTTTATTGTGAATAAATATTTTTATTACCTGTTTCACTGAAGAATGTACTAAATGATGTTTCTTTTGAATCTATACGAAAAAAGTCAATCTACGAAATATTATGTCTAAAAAATAAACCTGCAACAGATTCTGAAATATAAACATAACTTATATTACTTATATTATTGATTAGAATTATCTTACTGATAATATGACTACTATCACGTTGTTGACTAAATGTTCCATCTGGTTCAATACCATGTTCAAGACAATAGAGTTCCCAACAAGCATTACCAATTTGAACACCTATGATTTTTTTTTATTTATTAATTACTATAGAAAATTAAAAAAACAACGGATTCTATTACCAGCTTGACCAACATGAATACTTATACATTCGCGCTAGATAAAAAAAATAAGAAATTTTCGATTAAAAATAAAAGAAATAAAACCATAAACACGAAAATACACCCACCATTTTGATGATTATAATCGAATATAATATTCTTTGTTCGATTGCTCACACAAGCAAATAGATAATACGAATGCTCTCATCAACGTCGTTGTCTATGCTTTATGTACATGGGTGTTTTTTTTTCTCCTCCTTTCTTACCACCTACTTTCGTTTTCGTTTTCTTTTTCTTTTTTCTATTCGTTTACTAATAATTTGCTTGGTTGCTTTTTATACAATTATATATGATTATTATTTAGACCATTCTTCTCATCCTTTCCTTTAACATACATTACGATATGAGAAAGAAAATAAAAGACGGACTAAACAAAAAGCTCGATATCTGTGTTATATAAGATTTTTTTTCTTTTTTTTTAGACATCGCATATTCAACAGACCGAAAAAAGGACGTTGCTTGTTAAAAAAAACACACACACGATAGATATACACATAGAAAAAAAAAAAAAGAAAGAACAACCGAATAAGGTGACAGAGAATATAACAAACAACACTCAAAAAAGAAAATGATGACAACAAAGCTAGTGCACATGAGAGAGACATAATATAGACGAACATAAAAAAAAATGACCAGATCTATATAATAAACTGATGGTTTCTTTGTTTTTTTTAATTTACACTCTCTTTCTCTCTCTCTCTATGTACAACAAGTATAAATATATTCAAAATTCTCGATCTTCCAAAAACTTATATTCAAATATAAAATTGTCACGTTTACGAGTTTGCCATCGTTCATAATCAAAATATATATATGTACCCTAGAAATAAATATTTTTGTTTTTTTGATTTAAAACAAAAAAAAACCAATCATTTTCCTACTTGTTCATAATCATCTGTTATTGTTTTTGGTTCTTCATGTCGTTGAAACCACATCATATGTTTAGTATGAAAACGCCATGATTGACGTTTTAATGCTTTAGCTGCTAAATATTGTGCACGAGTTCCCTACAAATTAGATTTTTTTGTTTTCGATAATTATTTATTTAAAATCTTACCTCCATATAATAAAATACAAAGAATAATGTATCAGGTGCAAGTCGATAATAAAATTCTGGTGTATCATTACCTGCTGGTGGAGTTTGAGGATAATATGATACTGTTTGTGATTGACCAAGTGAACTTCGACCATAAATACGGTTAGCATTTGTTCTTAAATAAATAAATAAAAACAATCGATTGAAAACGATCTTTTTTTTTCTGAATATTTGAAATACCTTTGTCGTTCTGATTCAAGTAAAGATGGTAATTTTGCATATGCTGAATTTAATCTATTAAGCATACGCATTTCAGCTGGTGTTAATGATACACGACCTGTTGGTATTGATTGTTGATGTATTATATTTGATGATAACATATAACGAAGTGAATGATGTTCAGGATTTATTGGTATACCACTAGCTAATTGATTAATAACACTACCATTTGCTGTTGGAATATCTCCTAGATGTGTTGTATTATTTGATAAAAATGTTGATGATGTTGGAATTGTTGAAAATGTATTATCTAATAATGAATGTCCATCTGATGGACCATTACTTATTAGTGTTGATGTTATTGAACGATCATTTTCTGATATTGTACGATTTAATAATGATGATTGTTGAGATATAATTGCTGGATCAATTGAACTAGATGATGATGATGATTCAAGAGGAATGTTACAATTTGATATATTTGATCCTGGACCTGAGTATAATGATGATGGAATTATTGTTGATGATGATGATGATGATGGAGCACTTATTTGAGATATATTATTGAGAATATGTTGGGATAATATACCTTCAAAGAAAAAAAAGTATATGTATAATAAAATGTTCAACAGGAATATTTATCATACATGCCACAATTACATTGACTTTTAGAGCTTGTAAGACTTGTATATGTAAGCTTAGCCGTAGATTAAAAAAAAACCTTGCAGAAGAGGTTCGGATAGGAGGTATAATTTTGGCTCTCTCGGCCAGAAATCCGATTTTTGAAATTTCTCTATTAGAAAGGTAAAACTTTCAGACTAGATACTAATCAATGAAACGATTATTTCATTAAGCAGAAACTTTTTTTGTCCGACGTTTTCTTTACATTGAAAAGTTTCTCACGAAAATCAGTTATGTCGGGTTTTCGGAGATTAAATTTATCGAATTAAGAAATAAGATTTAATTAATTATTTTATATGCGTTAGAATCGTCTTTGAACATAATTTTCAGTTATGAGATTTGAAAAACGTTTAAAACCGAAGCTAATCGCTAAGATAGGAGGTTTAGCCTAAATTTTGGAGCGGTTTTATAAGAAAATTAAGAATTTTCTCCAGAAAGAAAACCTCATATTTGAGATTTCCTTAATATAGACTATAACAAAAACGTGTTTACTTCAATCACCATTGAATTTGAAAATATGTCGACCCTAAACATGTGGGGTCAATGTTGAAATATCATTTTTGTTTTTTGTTAGTTCGGTTTGAGTAGACTATGAATATATACTGCACATAATTGAAAAGTACATTCAAAGACGATTCCAACTCATATAAAATCATCAATTAAATCTTGTTTCTTATTCGAGAAATTTAGTCTCCAAAAACCCGAAATAACTGATTTTTGTGAAAAACTTTTCGATGCGAAGAAAATGTTGGACAAAGAAAAAGTTCTTGCTTAATTAAATGATCTTCTCATTCATTAGTATCTATTCTGAAAGTTTCACCTTAAATTTCAGAAATCAGATTTTTGGCTGGAAGATTTAAAATTGTCTGCCCTACGCAAGGTTTTCAAAGTTTTTTGAACTTACGGCTAACCTCACATATACAAGTCTTACAAGTTCTGAAAGTTTCAATCCATTCGGGAAAAGTTTATGTAAACTCTGGTACGTTTCCGAAAGAATTATCCTGACAATATTTTGTTGATATAAACCACATGTAAAACAAAAGCTATTTTTATCTTCAAAACTCATTAAAATATTGCGAAAAAAAAGATTTTTGCACAGCAAAATTACCTTTTTTTAAGTGTCTTCACACATCATTTATGATGAAAGTAGCTAGGTTTTTTATTTTAATGTTTTCTTAATAGATGTGAAAGCACTCAAACGGAAATAGCAATTAGAATGTTTTCCGATATTCTTATCTACTTGAATAAATATGCGTTCGGTTCTAGTCTTGAACTGATCGACCGATACTCATTTACAAACATGTTTTTAATTAATAATAATAAATATATATATATATGTTAGGTTGATAAATAAAATTGTAAAGTAACCTTTAATTAATACATTCCTATTACTTCTTCATAATTCGTGAAAGATTTCATTTTTAGTCCTTTAAAACAACTTTTATCAACATAGGTTATGAACATTTCTTTATCAGCGATAAAAGAATCAACCCTTTGGTCCTAGTATGATAGAGATATTCAATTTTTTGTGCGATAAATAAGCTTTTGGACCATCCTATAGTGGGCGTCGGGTATACGAAAGATGCGTACGAATTAAAATATCATATTTCGAAACACAACAAACTCTGTCAACCACATTCACGTATCGCACAGTGTTCATAAAATCGTCGTGTGCATCTTTCGAGATCCCATGGGTCAAGGATCGACTCTTGTTGTCCTATTATGTATTCCGATAAATTTAATTCGTCTGAATAAGGATGAAAGAAAAAAAAACAAACAAACTCAATTATGTTCATTTTGAATAAATACCTGTTCGATCATTAGTTGTTGATAATAATGAAGGTGGATGAGAACTATTTGATGAACTAGTAACTGTTGTTGTTACTGATGATATCGGTAAAGTTGATGTTGTAATTACTATTGAATCATTTGTATTCGTTAGTGTTGGCGTTGTTGTTATTGTTCCGTTTAGAATTTGTCTTGATTGTTGTTTTGTTTGCGGCGAAAGTACATGTTGTTTAGATATTGTTGTATTACTACTTGTTGTTGTTGTTGATGTTGATGGTACAGTATTTTGTGAAACAATTGCTGCATATTGAAGAACAGGTGCTGTTGTTGTTGTTATAGGATATGTAAAATGTGGTGGTGCACTTGTTGAAAGTACTGAAGCTGATGATGATAATATTGATTTTGTTGATGATAATATACTAGGTGATTGTTGTTGTAATTGAGAAGGATTTTTTGGTGAAGATACATGTGTTGTTGATAAATTATTTGCACCTGAATTTGTTCTAGATCAAATAAAAAAAAAGAAGTTAAAATTTCTCAGAAAAAAAAGAATTTATTAACCTATTTCGTTGAGATTGATTGTCTTCTGATTCAGATTTATTACGTTTTCGATCATCTGTTAATGATAATGCTGGACTAGCACTTGGTGAACTAGTTTGTGTTGATGATGGTGTTGTAAGACCCATAATTGATTCAATATCACCATGACTTGAAGCTGCATTTGTTGTACGATCCGATCTAATTAAGAAAACAATACAAATAATGTTTTTTTTTTGTTTTGAATTTCTACGATGAAATTCTTACGAATAATTTGTTGATGAATTAATATTCATTGATGATGATGAACTAATATCTATATGACTTGATGTTGTATTTGAATTTAAACTACTATTACCATTTGATAATGATGGAGGATGAGATTGTGTTGGTACATTTATAACTGGTGCCATTATTGTTATTAAATTATCCATATCAATTTCTTCATACATTAATTCATTTTCTTTAAAATCTGAATCTTGATTTGATTCAACATAATATTCAATATCAGCTCGTAAATTATGTATTGTTTTAAGATCTAATGCATCATTATTAATTGCACGAAGAATTTTTTCAAGGGATTCAATATGAAATTTATGACGTTCTATTGAATGTTTTGTTTCTTCTAGACGTTCTTGTTTCTTAAAAGACAACAAAATTAATTAATCAACAACACTTTTTTATGAACAAAAACTTTCATGGTTGTGTAAATCTTCTGTCGACATAGCGCAAGATAATATCAGAGATGAGCGGAGCGGCTATAAAAGCGTCCTACCTGTCAAAAACTTATTTTTAAGGACCATAATTTTGTAGTTACTTCGCATAAATACTTTTTTTATTTCATGATATGACATTAGATAATTTCAATACATATAAATAAGCATGGGCGTGGGTGTTGATACGGGATGGGTGTCCAAGAACTGAGAAGTGGTTATCCCTCATCAGTTCTCCTATAGTTCAGTGAATATTAAATTTGAAAATGTAGAATATTCACGACAGTTTTTCTCTGACACTCATTTCATCTGGAAAATTGTAAAAGAAAAAATTGCATGCACAAATTTTTTAAAAAAACATGAACGCGACATTCATGAATGATAGAACTATGAGGTAGCCAATGATCAATTCTCATATCCCTTAGGAATTATCATAGCTGCATTGACCATTACTCGATAGATTAAGAAATCCCTATTCTTCAGTACTTGAAAACTGCTGTTTCCCACAAGGGAAAATGAGCACTTCTCCAAATTTTGGGATATGTGACAGTATTCTCTGAAAAATATAATAGTTCTAGTACATGGAGAAACCGCGAACTCTGGCGGTGTCAAACCGCATCCCGCTCATCTCTGATTGCTATTGTTAATTTAATCTAACAAGAGAAACACTTAAGGTGTCCGACTCCGGTTTAATTCATTTGTAATTTTGTTGAAGTAAGAAAAAGTCTTGATGGCTTTGAGCTCATGGTCTAAGACTGAATTTTTGTGTCCTCCTGGGGTAAATTATTGGTTTTTTTTTGGAAAATTCAATATCTCGAGAAAGACATGTTCGTTTTTGTTGAAACTCTGCTCGCAGGCAACAATCCGCTGTCTACCGTGTCGCATGCACTGGAGTTATGATTCATCCAACATCTCTCAATCGAAAGCTCGATGTCGTAACTATCTCTAGCTCAAATTTTGTTTGCAATCACTTTTATTTCATGAATTATTTTGCTCCTAATAATCTGTTGAAGACATCCGAATAGTGATTTGAATAGCTAACGATGAGTTCTAGCTCATGTATTACATACCATGATTTTATCGATAGATTATGATGGTAAGATTTCTAAAAAACTGAAAACTGTATTTTTCAGGTGCTTGAAAACTTTGCGGGAATTATTTTTTTGATAATGCCATCTTAAAGAGTGTAAAATTCTGTACAAAATGAAGGGTCGTTGCGTTTTTTACGACCTTCCATTGAGAAGTTACAGGCATCACAAAAAACGAAAAAAAGTGAATTTTATCAAAAAATCCGCTAAAAAAAAAAATGCATTTTTTGGTTTTTTGTAGCACATATAACTTCTCAAGGGAAGGTCGTAAGAAACGCAGCGACCCCTCATTTTGTACAGAATTTTACACTCTGTAAGGTCGCTTTATCAAAAAAATAATTCTCGCAAAGCCTTCAAGGACCTGAAAAATACAGTTTTCAGCTTTTTAGAAACCTTACCGTCATAATCTATCGATGAAATCCTGGTATATAATGTATGAGCTAGAGCTCTTCATTGGCTATTCAAATCACTATTTGGATATCTTCAATAAATCATTTTGAGCAAAATAATTCATGAAATAAAAGGTGCTCTAAACTTTTGCCCGCCACTATATCATCTGCAACATTAGGAATGTATGTTGAAGAGTAAATGCTGGTTTTTAGTAAGATGGATCTTTTCTTGGATAATAATTTTGATCAATTCATTTGAAAACTTCGAAGAGTCGACAAGTTTGTTCTAAATGCTTTTTACAATCACAGCATTGAATCAGAGATGGACAACATCACTATGTTCCGTCCAACAGAAAAGTTTTTCGAAGAAAATCAACCGCGATTTTATCAGAAAATACTTCCAGTGGGTGCGCCCTTCTCTACATTGAATGAAATCGGGTCAGTATTACGACAAGGGTTTTAGTATCTCAAGTCGTGCTCATTTCTAAGATGTTAAGTATGTATCATACAGACTTTGGTGATGCATATTTACGTTGAATATGTTTCTCACAAGGGAAAGATTTATACAATTCTCGTATCGAATAGTACTGTTCGACAAATATCTATCGTTATAAGAAGTAGAGAATTCTAAGTGATTTTCAAAACGAATATTTTATTCTTACAAAATCTATTGACAAAAAAAAAAAAACAACAGCAAACTTACATCTTTATCGGATTTTTTCTTTTTTAAAGATGCAGATAATGTTTCAATATCCGATTCGAATTTATCGACTTGAATTTTTAATTCTTGAATTGCTTCCTATTAAGAAAAGAAAATTTCAAAAATTAGTTTACTATTTTTTTGTTTACCGTAATCCATTGATTACATTCTTCTTTTTCTTTTTCTTGTGGATCAAGTTTTTGTCCGGCACCTAAACCTTCTTTACTATATGCTTTTGTTTTTGTTTCTCTTTCAACTATTTTAAATCTTTCCATTTGCTAAATTTCAAACAGAAAATTTCATTTTTTTTGTTTTCTATGAAATTTTAACAAACTTGTTCAATATTTTTTCTTGCTTCTTGTAAAGATTTTTTGTCTTTGATTTCTGTTGATGATATCCATGCTTTAATTTGATCACGTAAACGTTGTAATTTTTTTATTTCTTTTTTTAATTCTTGTTCATATTTATCTTTTTGATTATGATTAGGTGCTGTATGTACCTTTGAATAAATAAATAAAAATGAAATAAGAAAAAAACAATCAATATTATTTTCTTTTCTCTACCTTTTGCCATATATCTTCAAATGTTTCAACACCTTCGGCTACTTTTTTTAAACAACGTTCAATTTCACCTAAGAGAATAAATTTATTTATAAATATTAAACAAAAAACAATAATTTTACCCTGTAGTTTTCTCCTATCACCCATCTATAGTTGTTTCTTTAGTTTGAATTTCAATAAGAAAAAATGAAACATAGACAAAATGAATGTGCTTTTTATTTCGAAATTTTCGATAAAGAATAAACAATAATATAATGTTTAACGAGTCACTTCTCTTTGTGCGTATCTATCTATAATAAAATATAATTAATTAATTATTGAGAAAATCTTATTGTTCAAAAAAAATATATATATATATATATATATTATTTATTGTATATAATATAACCATGTGCTTTTCAAAAAAATGCGAAATAAACAAACAAATAATATGTAGATGTATTAAACACAATGGGTGCGGTCGGTTGGCCGACCGACAGACAGACAGCTTTGCCTAATGACTATATGACTCATGTAGACCAAAACATAATCTATCGAATTAGAAGTCGAAAGAAAAGAGGTCGCCTAAAGATATTGATGTTTGTTACATCGGAAGTAGAACATTTTCATTAAAGAAAAAGAAATCGAAGGAAATGCGTTATAAGTAATGAAAACTCTACGATGTATTTTGATGGCCCAGATACCTTAAAGATTTTGTGGCTAACAACGGTAGTTCAATCGATTAACTGATATAGTAAGTTACATAAATATTTGAGAATGAATATTGTTCATATTACCATTCTGGAGATCTCATCAAGACGAATTTCCATGTTTTATCATTAGCTTCTCGTTGTGTTTTTTCAGTCGCTATTACTCAACATTGTTCCTCTCTTGATCTTAACTATCGTGTGCGACACTCTTATCGGTTAGATCTATTCAAAATGTTCTCGAATAGAAACTAGATTTTTTTAAAAATAACACTGCCTTTCTATTTCTTTGTTTTTCTGTATTTTAATGTACAGCAAAATCTCCTATTCTCAACGTCTTGACAACATGATCACGTTGTTGTTATACTGAACTGTACATGCTTTCGTGCATACATAAAGAATGAAACTGACCTCTATGTCGAGAACAAAATGAAGCGTAGTGAAAGATGCGATACTAAACATAGACAAGTAACATGCGTTAGATCTTACTGATCTACATACAACAGAAATAAATTTCTGTGAAAACACACACAAATCTTCGAATAGTAAACACTTTTAACTATTTCCCTTCATATTGACATAAGAGAGTTTTTACTTTAGTCATCTTCAATCGATTCAAATGATTTATTGAACATTCTATGAAGATTAATACTTACAAGGAAATCTCGCCAAGTGATTAAAAGCTTTTGAAGTGATATTTTGTCCATAGATAGGACCTGGTAAGACTAGAAAAAGCCCAGAAGGATAAGTTCCCATAAGCCTTCATTCCGGAGCGATGACCGATTTACTGAGTTTCCGGCCCATGGCAAGGTATTTAGAGAAAAATCGAATGACGAAATTTTGACCTGAAATTTTCCCCATATGTAGATCCCATGATCCTTAGTATGCGCTAAAAGTTTCAATTAAAACGGATCTTTCTTTCTCAAGATAATGAATATAGAAGAAAAATTGTTTTTTCTGAGTTCTTTATAAAGTGTGGACACTTCTTTCCAATTTATTATCTCGAGAAAGAAAGATTCATTTTCATTGAAACTTTTAGCGCATACTAAGGACCATGAGACCTACATATGGATAAAATTTCAGGTCGAAATTTCGTCATTCGATTCTTTTCTAAATACCTTTCCATGAGCCAAAAACCTAGTAAACCGGTCATAGCTCCGGCAGGAAAGCCTATGGAGACTTATCCTTTTGGTGTTTTTCTAGTCTCATCAAGTCCTACCTATGGACAAAATATCACTTCAAAGACTTTTAATCACTTGGTGAATTCCCTCGTTAATTCTATTCTAGTATTAGCATGATGCTCGCATAAAAAGCTTAGAGAAGTCAGACCTGCAAAAAGTCGATCTACTTTGATCTCTATTGTAGTTGCATTGAATTTCAACTTTAAAAATATTAATCGCTGAAACTACTGACATATTGATGAAAACACTGCTTTACGTTTTAAGATTTCAATAATATTCAATCAAGATCTTATAATGACATAGCAAAATTTTTCAATATTACTAAACAATGATATTGAATTTGATTACTTGAAATCAGCTATTGTAGATTTCATATCCACTTCAATATATAACTCATATAAGCTTAATTATACTTTGTTTCAAAAATTAATTTTTCAAATACTTTCCAAAGAAAATCTTTGAACAACTCTGCTGTCTTATTTATTATCTCAGAAAAATAATGTACATGAAATTACTGTGTATCGTTTTGAACAAATATTTACGATCTATGAGCAACACTGACTATTCTATTTAAATGTCATTGTATATTGGATGAAATAAATTGAATACTTAGATCAAATAATTTCCTTCTATTCATATTGAAATCAACAGAATTTTAGTAAAATGAAAATGATTTAAGGAAAATCAATGAGCTTTTTAATTCTTTACATTCGAACAATGGAATGAAACAAAAAATACTTTTAACAATCAAAACATTGTTCTCTTTACAACATAAACAATTTATGTATAAACATCAAGAAACATGAGATGCAATTATTAATCTTGTTCTTTCAAGATGTTTAGTTGCAACCATGCTTCGTGAATAACAACAACAACAAAAAAAATACTTAACTAATGCAATTCGACGTAAATTAAATAATGTTGAAGAATTTCATCATTAATAAGCATTTACTAATATCTTTTGATGTTCACTATATTCACACGTTTAATAAAAACGAACTTTATTATGATACTATATTGATGCACATAGAGGAAAATCTGCAGAATAAGTTAGTGTGAAGTCAACGACGACAAAATTTCGAATTGTTAAATATGGAACACATCAGTTTTCTGAAAGAAGTTGACGTTTTAGTGTACAAAGAATTGCAGTGTCGTACTTTTCGTATGACTATAAACATTTATAGTGACTAGTTTTCAAAAAAAACAAAAGAATTGTAGAAAAATAGGAATTTTTGTTTTTGCTAATCTTTTCATGCTAGATGAAACAATTATATACTTCACTTTTTCGGTAGTTGTCGTTCATCGTCAACTTTTACCAAGAAATGACATAATGAAAATGCAGTTATTTTTTATTTTGAATATGTAAAAATTACGATATATCATGTTCTACTTTTTAAATTAACTGTTATGTATTCATATGACATTATTGAAGCGAAGGTGTGAGATCAACTAGTGTTGTAAAGTGTGAAATAAAGATTCTCATGGAAACTCTCTAATCATAGTGTCAACAAATTAAAAGTAATAAATTTAGTTATATATTGAAGGAGAATTAATCAACGATACGTCCTCAATGTCAAAGAAAAAAAAAACCAGTTGTTGATCGATATATATATTGTAATAATCAGATATTATTTAAATGAAAGCATATAGACAATCCATTGAGATGTGACAACATTCTTCAACTATCTATTCCTTTTTTTTAATGAAATTTCGCAATAACTAACAATTATAACATGGTCATAACCTCAAATCAGCTTGACAATGTGAATCTAAAACAAATAGTAAATATTTTAAGCCTGGCATAAAATGTAAAGTCGAAAGTAGAAAATTAAAAACACAAACATCAAAGAACTCAAATGATTTTTAGTAAAAGAGTTTTAAAATATTAATATTAGTGTTGTAATAAATTGTACATTGTCTAGAGTAATGTTTTTTTGTTATTTCTTCCAAAAGTACATGAATAAATTTTTAAATTATGATACAATAAAATATTCGTAAAGCAAAGTGTGTGCAAGTTTGTTTTTCTTTTTGCCAATAGCTATATCTTATTCTTACTTGACGGTAGATAAAATTGTTTTAGTGAAGCCAAAAATATGACTTGACAGTACGTTGTCCTTATAAAATTAACTTTTACTGCTAACCAAAAAAATCATATTTCATTTTCTTATCGCAATGGATGTTGCATGACTCACCTTTTAGGATAAAAATATTTGCATATTGATTTTACAAAGTTATGCAATAGCACAGGAAATGTATCGAGTATTTTAAATCATAGAAGTTAGTCTTGTTCGATATTAATTTTTAAAAAAAAATGATGTGTTTTATATGCAGAAGAATGAAAAGCTATAAACTATCGAAATGATAATAGATTCCAATAGAACTCCTGATGATTATGTTCATACAAAAAGCATCTTGAATTTAATTTCAGTTTGATTTAAGAATGTATTTAGCAATATGGAAATCAATGTCTTTTCTTGTATCCAGGATTAAACTCAGGAAAGTTCATAGATCCGATGCAATACTTGTTAATTAATTTAAAGTTTTTCTTTATTCATGAAAAGGATTCTTTTTACATATATTTTGTAATAAGATGTTCCGTACTGTTTGTACGTGTTCGTCCGAATGAAGTAGCTAGTTGAAATGGTAAATTTGCTTGATAGTCTTGTAATGTACTCGCCTTGCAGCATGGTTGTGTTATAGTTTTAAATGTTTGCATTAATTGATTTTGATATGGTTTTTGTTGTTTAATTATTGTAGGTATATCATGTGAATTAATATGAGGTTCTAATGGAGTAGATAAAATATTATTAATTATTGTATCATTCGTTTTAATAGATTTGTTTTCATTATTTATATTATTCCATATAAGACATGAAGCAACATTTTTACTTCGTTCATTTTGTTTTATTTGTGAACGACGTGTTAGAGTTGCTGAATATCTTTGAAATGTTTCTTGATGAATTTGTTTTGATTGTTCTTCATTTGGTTGTCCATGATTAAAAACAGTTGAATAAACACTAAGTTCATTTGATGATGAATTAATTGATGGTGCATTAAATAAAATTTGTGATGATATTAAATTTGAATTAAAATCATTAGCATATGAAGTTATTTTATTATTATTAATATAATTTTTTTCATTGACATTTTCTGGAATCCAACTAATAAAAAATGGATCAAATTTACCTTGTACATTTGTTTGTAATTTTCGTCTACCAAAACCCTTTAAATAAATAATAAATATATATTAAGAATAATTTATAAAAATAAAAATTTCTTTTTTTTTCTTATATCTTACACTTTGAGTACTTCGAACAAGTGGATCACATTCAAATTTAAATCGATTATCATGTTGAGAAAACTTATGTAAACTAGCTTCAGACTAAGATGAAAAAAAGAAATGTATATCCAAAAAAAAAAAAAGACGAAAGAAAAAATTTTTTACATTTTGTCGATCTAAGAATGTTTTAGGTGGATTAGGTCGAGCAAGTTGACGAAAATCATTACATAAATCAATACGTGATTTAGCTCTAAAATGACCATAATAACCAGTTGGAAACTGTACACATAGAAAAGAAAAATAAACAACTAAGTAATTAATCTCGTTGAATAATATTTCTTACCCATGAACCAATAATTTGTGGATTATTTGTCAAAGATTTTGATGATATTTGTCTAATCTGAACTTGACTCATGATGAATATATTTCGTTCTTTTTTTTTTTGTTGTACAGATACAATTAATCTCAGTCTTACTTGTTTATAATCTCTTATATATTTCTAGTGTTTGTGTTGTTAACAACGACACACAACAATAATACCAACAAAAGATGAGTGAAAAAAAAAATAGAAAGACGCCCAAGAAGAACAAAAAAAAAAAAAAAGAGTGCGTTTTTTTACTACTACAACTACAATTATTTTATTTTGCTTACATAGTATAAAAAATATAGAACTGATTAATTTTCATTTTTATTGATTCCATATGAGAATATATAATTAAATAAAATCTTCTATTCAAAGGTTGCTTGAATTTTTCTATCAAGATTTTTATTTAAAGTTTCTTGTTTATAACAAATAGGTACTGATGGTAGATTTTTAATATCGAACAATTGTGGATATAATATATATATAGAACTTGATTCGATTTTTATTGTATGATTTTTTGTATTCGATGATCTTAATTGATCATCAGCATAAATATTTATAGTTAAATTGTTCTTTTTTTTATTATTCATATAGATGAATTGATAAATAAATAAATAAATAAATACAAGAAAGAAAAGAATAACGTGAAATCATACTTTTTCTTTTTACGCGCATAATATTGAAAAAAAAAAGCAACATCATTCTATATGCTATGACAATAATTTTTGTTTAACTTCTATTCATTAGTATCGAATATCATTTCTTCTGAATAAAATAACAAATTGTTTGTACTTATGGTGATATCTGATGACATTGGACGATTCAGAGTAAATCTTTGAATATAATTTGTACCACCTCGAGGTACACTTGGCACTAATGAAATACAAAGACGTTTTTTGATTGATGAAGTTGAACAAATGAAACATGATTGAAATAGATCATCGTCAAACAAACGTTTATTTGATGTAGACATACAATAGAAAAAAGACAAAGAAGAAATACAAAGATTTTATTGGCATATGAACGCGCCAAGTTTTATGTCTAATTATTATCATTGTGAACAAATTTTGAAATTTTTATAAAACATTTTTCATTAAATGCAAACATTAGAATTGTAACTAAAGATGTGCAGAATCGAGATCAAAATTTGAAATTTTGCCGGAACCAGATCAAGATTGAAGCTATGAAAAAAAGCTTGTCCCAACTAGAATTAATGGTTATAGTGAAATATTCTATTATCGTATAAACCATATCAATCAGACCATAAGTTAAGGAAGATGACCTAAAAAGTACTAGTCATCAACTAAATGAATAAAAAAAAATGAATATTGAAAAACTTTTTAGATATGCTACGACTAAATTTTGGAATAGTTTTCTCTAGATGGAGACTAGGACTTGTACCGGTACTAAAAACGCTTGGTTCCGCACATCTTTAGTTGTAACTGGTAACGATAACTGATTGACTTGGATAGATTTAAGGTTTTATATCATTTATTTTTCAAACAATCATTGCTCATAAAAGTGCTTTTTCTTCACAGATAGAATAGTTTTTATTTATATTAAAGTTTATTTCAGTGAGACAACGTGCGTTAGACTATTGTGTTAAATTTAATATACTTAATCTATTCTATCAATTCACATTGGTGTCAAGTTACCGAAATCAAGTCAAAGAATTACGTAGTATGATACGTTACCATTGATTTATTAGGTTTTTTTTAACTGTTGATAGTGTATATAATGTCCATATATAATACACAATAAAGCAAATACAAACTGACAAACAGATAAAATGTACTGCTTCATTAATGATAGTCATGTTTGATATACATTGAATTACTGTGCAAATCAAATATAGAATTTGTACTCGTATGAAGTTTTCTGTTCACTAATAGATGACAACAGAAAGAAAACTCATGAAAATAAGCAGTGAAAATTAATATAGTAGCGTAACAGTATCTACGGTTTGTTACTGTAGTGATTATGAAGCAGATATGACTATTTGAGAAGTTGATTTGACTGATATGTAATAAGAAAATGCAGGACAATCTATATTGGTCAGTTCTGCATTGTTTAGACTCGGATCGATGCCAGTAAAGAAAACCCATATTGGTTAAAACTCTAACAGATACTGTAAACAGTATTCTAGAATAAAGTAGAAATCATCGTGGGTGGCAATATCAACGTTTAACTACAATGGAGTTGTAGAGATAGAGAGTGCTCTAGAATGATTCGGAAAAAAAATTTAAATATTCATTTTTGGTTTTGTTTGTTTTCATTCATTCTAGGGTGTATAAAAATGATTTTTCGATTACAATTTTTAATGCGGTGCGAAGCACAATCTTTATGCAGTCGGTGACGTACACATTCGGCATCCATACGAACAGAAATAAATTAAAAAACTCATTTCAAGAAAAACGTCAAACGAAGTTGAGCATTGGAAATCCAGGTTTCTATCTTCACAGAACACTTCGAGAGAGATAATTTGTGGGGAATACGTGGAGTACACCGACTAGAGCATGTGAGTTATGTTCTTCAAGTTAAAAATCTGTAGATAAGATGAAAGGACTTTCATAATTGAAAATTACCAAAACATTTTCTGTTTATGACGTTTTTAGAAAAAAAAACTTCAGAAAACCCTTCATAACCATTGTAAGAACCAAGAAATGATAGTGCGTTAGAAAGAGAATATAGGCTATTCGAAGTGTTGATGAGTCTTTCCTTCATCGACACCCACACCAGAGAATTACTATAGGATGGATAGTTGATTGACATAGTTTTCATTTGGAAATGTTTTAGTATGGGAAAATTTCTACGAGCTATCCTTACATGTATGAATCATGTATTTATAGTACAAACATCAGTACCAATAGTTCGAGCAAAAATCAATGTAAATTCTTCAGAAATCGTTTTATTTTATTATTAAATGATTCCTCGTGAAATTCTGCATTAGATAAACTATGAGTGGAAGGAAACTGAGGATGGTCCAAGAATGATCCTTATGCATCCTGTCTTTGCAAAAACACAAATGTTTATAGTTATAACTAAAAAAATAAAGCTATGCATATTCTTCTATAATATAAATACGTAATTGAACTTTTTCATTGCAAATATTTGTCACAATACGAAAGTTTGGGAACTCTCTTTTATTTGAAAGATCTGTTTAAGTTCGAAACTAATAAACTATATGAAGAATAGAAATTAATGTATTCTATAAATTTTCTAAGCAACTTTTCAATATCAATTGAATGATAATCAATAAAATAAAATGAGTAAAATGCAACGTATTCAATTGAGTTAAAAAGTTGAAAGATAGCCACACTCTAAAAATCTGACATCTAACTCAGACTTGAACAATAGTTAAATTTCGAAATAAACCTAAGATATTTTCTTGAGTTTGTCATGCATTGAGAATGATCTTATCGTAAAAAATGCAAATAGTAATACAGAAGATGTAAGACTCAAAAGTGAAATGTATCATAACCTATGGAGGACACAGCTGATTTTAGGTTTGTAAGATATGAAACGATGCGAAAAAAATCTTCAATAGAGTTCAGAAACCTCATAGATCTACTGTTTATTCCTTACATTTGTCTCAGTTGTCTATTACCTACTATGTTGTTACTTAACAGTGCTGCTTGTGTGCATTTACCAATAAAAATGTCTCGAATATATCGTAAAAATGGTAAATGCTTATATCTCTTGTAATGAACATCACTTGCATAGTTGACGTTGCAGTTATTGTTAAAAGTCGTTATCAATAGAATCAATGCTACAAATTTCATTTCTTCCACCCTCAGACATGATGAACAATCTGTATTTGACCATTTACTGCCTTGAAAGCGTCATAATCGAACTGTATATGGTAGAACTACTTGGATCAATGAAATCACCGAACAAGTTATCGCTATTTTCATCATTTTCATCAAACAAAGAGTATTTAAAATATACTGTTGCTCAATTTCAAATTGTATTGTTATGTACATACTTCGTAGACATTATTTAGTTTTTCAATGTTTTAATTTGTAATAATTTATTTGATTTAAAAGAATTCTTAAGAATATATAAAGAAAATTGATCTATGCCAACTAAATTATTCTTTTTCTTTTTATTCAACATTTATTTAAGTTTTGCTAATTGTTAATATATAATTTTCTACACACAATCCTTGGTTTCTAATAAAAATTGCCTATTAACAATGCAGTTAGTCTTTGCTGAATTCATATTAAGTATGCACCAATTCCAATCTGATCTAATACTAGTCCGACTAGATCTAGTGCATATCTAATTCATATTCATAAATTTGATAATAGTAGAATTCATCGAAAATGAATCATTTTTAGACGTAAATCT